TCCAGCCTAGGGGGGGGGGGGGGACCGCGGGGTGCAGGGGGAGGTGTGTGGGGTCCTAGGGAACTGGCCTGGAAGGGGTGTCCAGGGGGCATCTTAGTCCACCTTGCCCCACTAGCTAAGGCAGGGTTGTTCCTAGACAAACTGTTGTGTACAACCCAGAAACTACCCTCCGGCCGGACACAACAGAAGGTGTAAATAGTGCCTTAACCTGCGGCAAGGGAAACAGAGGTCCCGGGTTAACCGATGTCATTCAGAACAAGGCTGGATGGGACCTGCAGAGGGCATCTAATCCAAGCCCCTGCCTGAGGTAGGCAGCTAGGCTGGATGCCCACAAGGCTGGATAGGCATCTGGCTGGGGTCATCTGACCCCACTGCTCTTCCCTGCCTAGGCAGGGGGTCAATGATCTGTTGAGGTCCCTTCCGACCCTGGCATCTATGAATCTATGAGGTAGGGTTGTCCCTATCCAAACTCTCCTATTCAAGCCATAAATTCTTTGGAAAAGTATCCTCAAGCCTGACACCACACAAGGCATCATGTCCTAACCCACCACAGATAAAGCAAAGGACACAGTATCACAGAGCAGAGGTTCTCAAACTGTGGTCTGCGGACCACCGCTGGTCTGCGAGCTCCATCCAGGTGGTCCGCAGAACGGTGACCTAAGGCTAAAGCTGACAGACATTACACCCAACTTCCCAGAACTGTGCTAAAAAAACCAGGCACATCCATCACATTAGAAAGGCAAGACTACTGATATTAAAATATGAGTTGCGTGCTTTGATTTGTAGAACAAAAAAAAGTTCACTAAGTGGTCCACTGAGACCTTCAGCCATTTTCAAGTGGTCTGCCAAAAAAAAAAGGTTGAGGACCACTGTCACAGAGAACAGGGCTGGAAGGGACCTCCAGAGGGTATCTAATCCAACCCCCTGCCTGAAGTAGGATTGTCCCTGGCCAAACTGTCCCATATAAGCCATAAACTTTTTGGAAAAGTACCTTCAAGCCCAGGGCTTGAATTACATTTTGACTCTTGAGTGGGGTCTTCAAAAAAAATTAAACCAGTTCATTAATTAACAAGTTCAGCTAAGTGAAGGAGCAATCCAATTGGAGACCTCCTCCCAGGTTATGGTTTTCAAATCTTATGGGGGGAGGGCTCTCCGCAAGCTCCCCCTTAATTCGCACTCTGCTCAAGCCTGACACAACACAAGATATAACACTCTAACTGGCCATGGATAAAATAGAGGACCCATGTTAACCAATGTCATAGAGAACAGGGCTGGAAAGGACCTCCAGAGGGCATCTAATCCAAGCCCCTTCCTGAGGTAGGACTGTCCCTAGACAAACTGTCCCATACAAGCTAAAACTCTTTAGAAAAGTACCCTTACACCTGACAAGACAAGGCATAACACCCTAACCGGCCACAGTTAAAGCAGAGGACCCAATGTCATAGAGAACAGGACTGGAAGGGACCTCTAGAGGGCATCTTGTCCAACCCCCTGCTTGAGACAGGATGAGCCCTATCCAAACCATCCTATACAAATCCATAATCTAAACTAAGTAAAGTCTAAGTAAATCTAAGTAAGGTCTACCATCAACCCTGACACGCCACAGGCCTAACCCCCTAGCCTGCCATAAGTAAAGCAGGGGAACCTCGGCAGCCAATGTCCTGCTACTATGAAAACTTGTCAATATAGGCTCAAGAGATCCCAGGGAGAAGGCCATGTCCCTGCCACTGCAGAGGAAGGCATCATCACATACAACATAACACATATTTAACGCAACACATAGAACACAACACATATTTTTCTCCTGTTAAAAGGAAACTAGAAGCTTTACTAGTAGGCCAGGGGGCTTGGGCTGTGCGATTTGGTTTAAGATGGAAGCAAAAACAAACAGAACTTCATTGGAATGAGTTCAAAAACGATCTGCAGGGCCAAGGAATGAAAGCTTCCTGACCAACAGCAGCAAGCAGACAGTAGCATGGCAGGACAAAGGCTGGTTTGATTGGTGGAACATCAGTTTCATTAAAAGAAGAGAGGGTGGCTAACACAGGTGGAATGAAGAGTTGAAAAAGGATCAGGTAATGAGCCATGAAGTCAATTGAGTCCCTCCATGCTGCCTGACTAGAAATGCTGCTGCTGCCAGGAGGTTGATTTGAAACTGAGCAGAGCAGGAATCAAAAAGGGGCTGCCAGTGCACCCCTGGCATCTGCCACTGCAGCCAGATATTCTTGCCCCTCTGCTCAGGGTCAGACCCATTGCCCCATCTGGGGTCAGGAAGGATTGCTGCCCATGGTCAGACTGGTACAGGTTGCAGGGGGCTTTGCCTCCCTCTGTAGCAGTGGGCATGGTCTTGTTCCTTGAATCTCTGGAGCGTATCTTAAAAACCATGGCAGCTGCAGGATGTAGGTCTCCTGCCTTACCTGTGGCAGGTAGGGTGTTATGTCTTGTGCTTGTTTCAGGATTGACTGTGTACTTTTGCTAATAGGGCTGACCACTGGTGCTCAACCTTTTGGTCTATAGGCTGGATGAGTGACCAGGGCCAGTCTGTAGGCTGGGGCCTTGCACCGCCCCCTCCCTGCCCTGTGCACCAGAATTGGGCCCTGGGGGCCCAGTGTTGTCTCCTGCTGCCTTCCCATGCTCTGGGATTGAGTCCCAGAACCCAGATGCCACCCATACACACTGGGATTGGGGCCCTGGGGTTTGGCATTGCCCCCTTCCCCCTGCCATGTGCTAAGATGGGAGCTTTAAGGCTTGGTGTTCAGCCCTGCTCACTGGAATTGGGGCCCTGGGGCCCAGCACTGCTCCCTCCCAGCCCTGTCATGTTGTGACTGAGGTCTGGGGCCCAGCACTGTCGTTGTCTGGCCTTGCACTTCGGGATCTGGCACCCTGTCCAGCACACAGGGCCTGGGGCTCCCCATGGGTTGGGAAATGTGACTCTCCTGCCACCAAATTTCCAGATTTGTGGGGAGCCCTGCAGGCCAGATAACATGAGGCCACAGGCCAAATCTGGCCAGCCTCAGGGTTGAGCACCTCTGGGTTAGTCAATGAATTTGCATAGGATGGTTAAGATAGGGATGATCCTGCCTCAGGCAGGGGGTTGGACTAAATATCCTGTGGAGGTCCCTTCCAGCCCCACTTCTCTATGATTCTATGATTCTAGAGTTTAAATATATGTATCCATTCATTCCTGTAAAATTATTAGAAAATTAAAGTAAATGCATATTGTACCATGGGAATTCCAGAGTATAATGGTGTGGGGGGAGGCAATAAAAAAATTACCAGTCCCCAAAACAATTTTTACCTTAAAATTCCTGAACACTTGGTAACAGTCCATAAGTATCAGTGAAGGAAGCATCTGCTACAATGCGTAATCCTGATACTACAATTAAAATAAATACAAAGGTCCATCCCTTCCCCTCCCATTCCCCACTCCTCAGCCTGCCGCAGCCAGGCTGTCCCAGGGAGCTCCTTCCTGCCGACTCCAGCTGGGCTGCATGGGGGTTGGACTCAGTTTAGGACTGTGGCAGCGATAGTAGGCAAGCAGGTTCCTCCTCTCTGCCTGCTGTCCCTGGAAGCAGGCAGAGGGAGGGGGAATGTGTAGGTCTGCTGCTGCTGCTGCAATCCCAGGTGAGCACAGCCCCTTAGCAGTCCAACTGCAGCAGAACAGAAGCTCCCCTCATCTCCAAGCACTAGGGACCCTGGCAGCTGCAGGAGGGGAAGTGGGGAATGGGAGGGGAGGGGATGTGCCTCTAAGTACAGAGAGGAAGAGAGGGAGGGAATTCTTACCTTTCTCAGGATATAGGCCCTGGGCTGCTTCTCCTGCAGGTTGGCCTGCCTGTCTTGGTGGTGTGGAGGGGAGGCTGGGAGGAGGGGTGCAGCCACACCTGCAACACCAGTTGCTGCCATTGCACTCACTTTGCATTTCTAGCAATTGCCAACTTAAAATCTTGATTACCCGGCAGCATTCCAAAAAATTGGGTAAGAAAGTTTCTGCTACAATGCACAGAGCTGATACTAAAATCACTTAGGGGCCCCTTTTAGGGACAGAATTTTTATGAGTGATCTGAGTTCAGGAGAAAGCAAAACTATGTTGTGTCCCCATGCATGTAAAATAGCTAACTTGGGGTTTTGTCAATATTGGTATATCCAGAGGCATGTGAAATTTCATAAATTGGGTAATGCATTTTAAAATAAAATCTGCTGAAAGAGCAGGATGAAATTACAGTCAGACTTCTGAACTGACCATTTTATTTCTTATCTCTTCAAAAAAGACCCTTCTGCACAAGTGTTTCAGCTTTAGTTAAAGCAGAAAAAAATGGAAAGATCAGATTTGCACGATCTCAGTTATTAGATTTTATTTATCAAAAGTCACAATAATGAACCCATCTTAAAAGCAACATCAATAAACAATGGCTCTAACATCTATTTTAGCAGTGCTTTTTAGTTTGTCTGAAGGTCATACCATTGCTAATGTAAGCAAGCTTGACATTTGTGGAAGTCCATTTTTATTTAGTCTGTCTGAATTGTGAATTGTGAAGCTAAGGGTTTTTATGGTATCAGTGACAAACCTGTTCTATTTTCATTCACATTAAAACACTACTAGATTAGAGAGAACCTTTTTTTGAGGGTTGGACTTGATGAGCCTGGAGACCCCTTCAAACTCTATGATTTTATGAAAACTGGTTTTCAGATATTCTTGCTTGTCTTGGTGTGCCTCTTAATCAGCCTACTGGAAAGGACTAGGATTTCTTTGGGAGCCAGTTATTTTTTGGGAAATTATTCAGTATTTAAAAATATTCTCTGCTTTGAAATGTGACACCTCATTCTGTATGTTTTACACTAGTGGTGGCCAACTTTTTTGGCAAGCATGCCAAAAATACAAAATATGAGATCGTGCCCCTCTAATCATCACTCATCAGCCACTGTTGTCACCTAGTGCCACAGAATCCCATAGCCACAACAAGGACGTGGCAGTGCTGAACTTGGAGGCATTACCCTTCAGCTCCCAAGGGACCAAACCCTTAACTGACATTGACCTCCTACCTCCTGTCCCCATCCCAACTGCAGCTCCAATCCCTGCCCCTTTCCCAGCTGCTGCTCCAATCCCTTCCCTCTCCTTGAGTGCTTCCCTGACTCCCATCACTGGTGCCCCCTTTAACTTGGCCCCTGGGGCTCACATGCCAAACACATTGACTGCCCATGCCACTTGTGGCATATGTGCCATGTGTTGGCCACCACTGTTTTAGACTGTCTTTAGAAACTGGTTGAAGTCAGTGTGAATTCATGTTAGTTAGTCCTTTTTATGTTTCTATTGTATATATATATATTCTTCTTTCTCATTATCTGTAAAGCAATATAGCAAAAGTTGAGTACTTAAGACTGTAAGATCTCTTGGGCAGGAATCCTTTTTTTGTTCTGAATGGGGTCTTGGTTCATGACTGAGGGTCCTAGGTGAAATGGTAGTGTTACTACTATTACTAGAACTACTGCTAATGAAGGATTATTGCTTAGTTCAGTAGGAGTTTACAACATGTTATGAATATAAGTTCAGGCCAATACTTTGATGTTTGTTGGATGTGTTATTTTCTATGTCGCTTAAAATACTAGTAATTACTGTTGATTTATATAACATTATTCTGTTTATTCATGTGCATCGGCTTACTACAGCTGCTGTAGTATACATAATTAGCTAAAAAGGAAGCATAGGGTTTGAAAATGGAAATTTCTGATCACCATCTTCAGTAGAAAAAACCTTTTCGGGAGGTGTCCTGGTGTCTCTTTAGCTGGTCCCATAGATTTACAATGATTTTGGAGGGTCTATTAGAAGCAAAGGTATGTGTGCAACAAAAAAGTATTTGGGTCCAAGCTGTTTGTAGCTTTGAGTCCATCTCAATCGCTCTTTCACTTTCTCCATCTATAAAATAAGAATGATAATCTTTCTCATTTGCAATTGTGAAACTTCAGCACAGTTTTCAGGTGTCTGTTATTAGGTTCCTAACTGTATATTTAAGCACTTTATTTACATTTACCTGACTTTCAGATGTCTGAACACGTAAGGCTAGATCCCATTCTAGATGTTAAGCATCTTCTAAGTGGCACTTAGATGTCTCCGTAATCCTGTTCCATTCTGATGTGGAATAGGAAAGCCTTGAAAAGCCTTTAACATATGTAATTTTGTAATGTGTCTTCTTTGCCTTAAGACTAGGGTCCCAAAAAATGGCAAGAAGGAGGATGCATCTACTTTTTGTGTTTATGTTTTTTTAGGGACTTGAGCTGCACAGGATCTGACTTCAGTGTAATTTTTAGAGATGTGCATGTTCTGAGAAATTTGAATGTAAGTTTGAATTTAGGAGCTTGATTTTATGCATCCCCCTTTGGAAATCACTTAGATGGATGAGATTATTTGGTCAGATCTTTTTATTTAATTCACAACCATATCAACCTTTTGTTGTGGTGTTGTAGCCATCGTGGTTCAGGAATTATGTAAGAAGCAAGGATTTCTTAGGTTTATATCTTTTACTGGACAATCTGCATAGTTGGGATAGAGTTAGAAAAGCTTCTGAATGCAAAACATTCTTCATCAGGTCTGAGCAGCAAGAGCAAACACAACACAATAATTTTTCTCCTGTGCTCCTTACAATTGGTTACAGCTGTCATTGCTCAGACCTGATGAAGAATGTCTTACATTGAAAAGTTTGCCTAACTCTAGCTCAATTATGCAGTTGGTCCAATAAAACATATCACCCTAAGAAATCCTTGCCTCTTGCAATATCAGTTATTAACATTCCTTTAAGTTAAAACAGCTCAATATATGCAAAATCCCAAACACAGCAGCATGAGACTTTTCTAAATGTTTTGTACTTCCGTGTCTGTTGTTGCCAGCAAAGGTGTTCTGTACAAACAGGTTTAATTTCTCTAACCTGCCTCTCCCTTTCTAACTGAATCAGTCATTTGTGACACTACAACTGCTTTTTTGATGGGAGTGAGTAGAGGCACTGCATAGGACTGAGGCCACAGAAAGAAAGTTTCTTACCTATGCAACCATTTATATAACCAGCAACAATGATCAATTGAATACAAAAAAGTACATAATAAATAGAGTTTCTAGGGGCGGGTTCCTAACTGAACTTAAAATTTAAGCCCATGCCTGCTGTTTAGCTTAAGGGTGGCCAGTGGTTGCTAAAGCCTGAGAGATAATGCCATGCATCTAAATCCTCATACATTCTGCTTAGTGTCTCCCTTCCTGTCTCGTTGTTCAGGCTTTCCCAATCCTCCCCTTTCTGCTTCTGGCTCCTTGTTTTCCTCTGTTTTTTTATCAGTTCCAGTTCCAGTTTCCACCTTATCCCCTCATCTGTCACTTTCCACTTTTTGATCTCCATTTACATTTCCTTTCCTACCTATTTTTCCCATCCCTATGGGTTCCCAGTCCCAGTATCCTTTCCTGAGCTTCTTGTCTGTTCTTCATGCCTTTAACTTCTTGTTGCAGATTCCCTCTTTTCTTTTGCTGGCATCCTGTCCCAGTCTTCCGTCATGCTCCCTGTCCCAGGCTGTCCTTTCCCTCTCTTTTCTCAGTCTCTTAAATTAATTCTGGTCCCATCTGTATTTGAGTCAGACAGCTTTCTCTTCTACAGTGCCTAGCCAGTACCATTGAGCCATGGAGAAAACAGGGGAGACAGATTCCCTACTTCATCCTAGCCCAGAGCAGCTATTACAGGGAAAGTTCAAACTTCACCCTTATATCTTTTGGCTGGAGGGAATATACTCAGTTACTCTTTGGGAATGACGTATATACATTTATGTCAGTTCTAGAAACTGAGAGAGGCTCAAGCATGTTCAGTATGTAAGAGGAATTTAACTGCTTAAATTTAAGAAATCTTTAACAAGCAGGGACAAACAGATTTTTCAGAGGCTTGTAAATTGACAAAATTGGCATGGATTTTCACAGGAATAGCAAAATGTACATCCCTGATACTAAGGCCACCCCATTGCCAAATTTAAAATCTCTACTTCAAATACTGGGATTCCCAGAATTATGAAAATGATTGCAGATTTTTAACATGGTAAAGATAAGGTATTTCCACTCTCATCTTGCTTGGAAAAACAGCTATACATTTTGTGGCTGAATTTATTTTTTTAATTTCAATCTGAGGCAGACACCTGGCATAGAAACTTTTCAGCCCATGTATTCCAGTTTTGGCGTCAATATAAAGCAACTGAAAACTTAATGGGAAATACTGAGCAACCATAGTAAGAGGCAGTGTTACGAGCCTTGCCTAAAATATTATTCCCCAAATAGTGCTGCTTTATTTAGAAAAAGGAGAGCTGAAAAGTCCTTAAGGTTTAGTAGAAAATTAGATATTACTGTGACTTTTTGTTTGTTTTGTTTTGTTTACAGTTCTTGTGGACAGAAGATCCTTAGCTTCCAGTTTGAAAAAAAAAATCTATGATTTAAATAGATCATATATATATGGAGGCAATGTCTAGGACATACTGTGGTCATTGCTTCAGCACTACATGCTTGTTTTCTGCTGCATTTATTTTGTATCCATAACATGGATTTCAGAGAGCCAGACATGGAAGCAGATGCTCTGAAGGACAACATCTATATGTCTCAGTGGACTGATCCAGCAAAGCCAGTGCCGTCTCCTAACAAGATAATTGAGAAGGCCATGCCTTCTTTGTTGCCCGGCTGGAGGAACATCACGAGTGAGTCATTCAGAGAGCAGTTTGCACCCTTATACTATTCACCAGACAGCAGTATGATAGGCAGCAGAGGCAGCTCATCAAATAATGTGCACCATAACCAAGATTTTCAGGATACAAGACAGTTAAATTATTTGGCCAACTCTATTCTTTTTCCTCACTGGTTGGCATCCAGTTCATCTCAGACTAGCAAAACTAATGACAACTTGGAACCGCTCAGTCCACCTCCTCCACCAACTGCTCATGCACCTCAGACAAGTCAGGAAACTGTATGCTACAGAAACATAGAACAGGTCAGTTTGCCTGCAATGGCGTTTTTGATTAAATATACATCTGTTAACATCTACACATTATTTTCAGGTGGAAGTGGTCTAGAAGCTTTTTAATTGGTCTGTATCTGAAAGGCTTTCATAGCAAATGCCAAGAAATGGAACAGGCAGACAAGGTTCCTTGGGTGAATTTGATATCTTTTATTAGACCATCCCAAATGGTTGGAGAATAGTTATTAAGCAAGCTTTCGGGTTCAAAAACCCTTCGTCAGGCTCAGGAAGCTGCAGCAGTTGGTGTGTGCTCTTCCTGGATGGAATGAAAAGTAAAGAAGCCAGGGGCTGGGCTGGGCTGGGGAGTCAGTTGCCAGGCAGATTATAATGTATCAAAAATCCAATGTCTGTGTTTAGTCCCTGATCTCTAGTATCCAGCAGGTTGATGAAATGGAGCTCATAGGCTCGTCTCTGGGATGTGTTGTGTAAATTTCCCTTGAGGATCAGGACTGAGAGATTGGAGAGAGAGTGGCCCTCCTGTGAGAAATGTGCCCCCACCGGTAATTGGGTGTTTCTGTCTTTGATGGATTTCCGGTGTGCATTCTGCGCACCAGAATGAATGCACGCCGGAAATCCATCAAAGACAGAAACACCCAATTACCGGGGGGGGGCACATTTCTCACAGGAGGGCCACTCTCTCTCCAATCTCTCAGTCCTGATCCTCAAGGGAAATTTACACAACACATCCCAGAGACGAGCCTATGAGCTCCATTTCATCAACCTGCTGGATACTAGAGATCAGGGACTAAACACAGACATTGGATTTTTGATACATTATAATCTGCCTGGCAACTGACTCCCCAGCCCAGCCCAGCCCCTGGCTTCTTTACTTTTCATTCCATCCAGGAAGAGCACACACCAACTGCTGCAGCTCCCTGAGCCTGACGAAGGGTTTTTGAACCCGAAAGCTTGCTTAATAACTATTCTCCAACCATTTGGGTTGGTCTAATAAAAGATATCAAATTCACCCAAGGAACCTTGTCTGCCTATATCCTTAGACCAACACGGCTACAACCTAAACCCCTGCAAGAAATGGAACAGAATCTCATGTCAGATTTTGCTTTTTTAAACTGACCATGCAGTAAAATATTACTTCATTATGATGATGTAAAGTAACCAGTTCCCTTTTCCTGGAACAAATCTGTTAGTTTAGCCTCTTGTTCTTCTAGGTTTGATGTTATTTCTATTTGTGTCTCTGGGGGAAAAAAAATTCCATGCTTTGGTATCACAACAACACCTGTCTGACTGTTGCCTGAAAAGCCAAAGGTTAAGAGTCTTCTGAGAGTAAACTATTTTTCTTTTTTTCCTCCTAAATCTTCCTATGCCTTTCTCCTCCTCTCTCTTTCTCCTCCTCTCTCTTTTTCTCTCCCTCAGTTCTGCGCAGGAAGGAAGTAAAACCTCTTGTTTCTGGGATAGAAGGGTAGTGTTTATTCTGTTTTGCAGTGCTTTGATGCTGGAGTTGTGACACTCACAGTTGAAAGCCCTGAGATTTTAGGAGCATTCTGAATGTCTCCTCCCCCCTCCAAAGAACAGAGTGAACAGGAGCAGGTAATGTTTGAGTGATGTAGCTGTAATGACCCAGGAATTAGAGAGGCAACAATTTTTGTGGGTGATATTTTTTTATTGGACCAACTGCATGGTTGGGATGAAGTTAGACAAATTTTCAAATGCAAGGCATTCTTCATCAGGTCTGAGGGAAGAAGCAGGCACCATGAATTCAGGGCTTCTTTGTGCAAAAATGCATCTGCATTGTATGAGCATCTGTCGCTCTGAATTACAGTTCTGTCTCAAAAATGTTAAGTTTATATTGTCAGATTGTAAAAATTGCAGGTGGACATCAATGTTTAAGGAAAAAAATAAGTGAGAATACTTTCAGGATCAAAAGTTTTTCCTTGTGTTAGGTTATTGCTGGTGAAATAATTTAAATAACTACTTTTTAGCATGTATGTTATTAATTTACATTTAAAATTTTATTCAACAGTGGAAATAAGCAGGCAGTTTCACGTTCTGATTCTTATCCTCTTAACAAACAGCAGTTTTATTTGAGCTTTGACACTAATAAAAGAGTGTTTTAAACCCAGATATTTTCTCTGGACCTCCATTTTTAAAAACAAAACAAACCAAAATGGAAACACTGAGAGCTAGGATTCTTTCCTGTTAAAAATCACAGGTGAGCATATTTTGATACTGTCTCTTGGTGCTGTTCACAGAGCCCAAGGCAGCAAGAACAGGTGATGAAGCAGCAGATGGAGCAGCTGCAAAGGCTGGTGACCGAACAGCAGAAAATCATTACATACTACAACCCAGGTACTATAGAGAGTTGCTTAAAATTGCACGTGACAGCTGTTCCCAGGCTCTCAGTGAAATCCTCTGATTTTCAGAACAGGTGCCAGCAAGGATGATGATTTTTTAGTGGTTTGGAAGGAGTAAGAAACAGGAGGCTGCTTATCTGTTAGTTGTATTAAAATATTTTATTTCCATCACTAAAAGATCATTCAGAAACTTTTTTTTTTTTTTTTTACAAAAACTCCATGTGTAAAAGTCCATTTGTGTTTAATAATAGAAACCTGTGCATGTATACCTGCTGACATCTAGATTATACTACATTTGGAAGTATTAAATTTAATGGCATCATAAAAATATAAAATATCATCGTTGCATTCCTGTATCACAACTAAAAGATGGGAAAAGGGAAGGAAATAAACAAGCAATATTTTTAGAAATGGACTTTCTGATATTGTGGCTCAGTATCTTTCCACAATGCAACACAACTTCCTGCATGCCTTCTTCCTTGGTGAGAGTGTACCCAAAAAATGTCATCAGTCAAGCAAATAAACAAAAAGGAGGCTTCTACCCCTGTGCTTTGACTGTGACTATAAGATTTCCTCTGTGACTTTGGAACTGCCTCAGTTCCATAGTGTAATGGGATACGGATTTGTTGGTAGGGGAAACAGCTGGAATCCTCCCCTCTCCGCAAGAATGCAGTATGGTTTTGCAAGAGCTCAATATATGGCAAAAAGCAGGGGGCAACTAGAAAAGGAACCGTAGGAAGATAGAATGATCCTTTGACTGCTGCACTTCTTAAGGTGTACCACTAGGAGAGAACTGCTGTACTTTATGGATAGGATTTCTTTATAGCAACCCTTTGGGCAGATGTTACCTGGGATATTTATCACATTGGCCCGTTTCGCTGGCACCCTGGCCTTTCCTGTCTACTTTTTGGGCTTCACAGCCCAGTTTGTAGGTTAGAAACTTTGTTTTGCTGAGATCCCTTGAGGAGACCCTTTCCACTGCTGGTATAAGCGGTGGGGGAAAATATTATTTGGGGTGGCTGAGCGCTGCCTCTCCCTCCTGTAGGGCTGTTGGTGCTGTACGCGGTGGTGGAGGAGTGGCTACGTGCCAAGCAGCGCTGGGCACTGTGGGATAGCAGTGCTGTGGTGCTGATGCTGTTGCCGGCTGCCACAAAAACTTTGGAGGGCCCCCATTAGCCCCAGCCTTCTGCCACCTATGACTGCTGGAGGTATCAGCTCTAGAATATTCCATCACATACACATACACAAGAGTTAAATATAGCCTCATGGATTCACAAAAGTAGCATTTCATAATCAAAAGTGCAAACCCACTCTCATTCCTACTTTCCTATGTATGGAAAGCCTTCTTGGCAAAACAATCAAGTCCTCTTTGTCATCCCAGTAAACAAATAGTGCCACAAATGTATGGCAGAGAACAGAACTTTGCTGGTTTGAACAGAATTATTCAGTCAGAATTTGAGTTTTAATCAACCAGGAAGAAGCATCTACTTCTAAAGGATAAATGCTATTTTAGGTAGAGTTAAACATAAGAAAAACATTTTAACTTATTGAGAATTTGCCTTTTGTCTGTATTGAATCTTTAAACTGATCTAAAATTGAATCCTATTCCCACTACAGCCAATGGGAGTTTATTTTTAACTTCTGGAGAAGGAAAAAATGACCCTATATTTGCTGTAAAAAGAAACACATTTTTCACTGGCATTTTTTTCCACTAGTCATCTAAGTCAGTGGAGCTATACCAATATTCACCACCTAAAGCTCTGGCCATTTGCACTGAGCTTACTTACATAGCTAATTACAATTATTGCTTCATGAAATGAAAGGATTTAGAATAGTAGAATTAAACAGCAAATCAGAGTTTATAATGGAAATGCTGACAAACTTTTAATGGCAATCTATCCACAGTGTAGGATGTGCAAACAAAAAAAAAATCTCCTTTCAAACCGGTTGCATATATTGAAGTTTAACAGAATGTTTCCCCTGTCTTCAGGTTTCAGAATCTTTGGAAATATCAAGACTCTGGGGCTCTGCTTCATTTCTTTTCAGCCTAATCGAATGAATGAACTTGTTGTAGGAATGTTGAAAGGTTGGGCTTGAGAAACAGTACACAATTGGGTCTATTGCACTGTTGAGGTAGCTCCAGCAGGCAGTAACATCAGTTACATGAACAGCGACATGAAAAGCTGCACAGTTCTCAGAGCTCTGGAGGATGTATGTCAGCATTCTGCCCAGCATACTGGGCAAGAAACAGACTCCAAACACCACCACTACTGTGATCACTAACAGCTTGGCTTTCTGTAGCCTAGGTTGCTTTTTTGTGCCTTGGCGGCTCTTCCTGAGCTTCTTGATGATGCCAGTTGTACAAAACAAAATAAGGCTAAAAGGAATCAGCAACTTCAAAAAAAATATCACATCATGCCCAATAGTATGGAAGTTGGTCTCTCCATGTAGGCTGAAACTGCGACACTTGACGTTTTGGTGTTGGGGTGAAAATAGTATCTCAACAGTCAATCCCATTGCAAGAAACCAAACCAAGGAAGCAATGATTTTGACAGTCTTGGTTGTGAAAAACCTGAGATTATTGTTAGGGTGCACCACCCTGATATAGCGTTCTACAGCCACGGCTGTGAGGAATGCAATGGAGACAGCCTGGGAAAGAGATAGCACAAAGAGCACTACTCTACACAGTGTGTCTTTAAAATCCCATGCCATGTGCGTCACAAAAAAGATCAGTCGAAGTGGCAGGCAGATGTTCAGCAAGATGTCTGCGATCACCAAATTTAGCAAATAGATGACATGTGGCTTCCAAATTTTCAGGCGGAAGAAGAAGATCCACAAAGCAATAGCATTATTTGTTATTCCCATCCCGAATTCCAAACTTAGCAAGATGCTCACTGCTGTTTCCATAGCTTTGTCAGGAACAGAGCAGTTTGCCATTTTCTGCTGGTCCTTTAAAAGGACTTGAATGTGTAAGTAATGAAACCCCTCTGGATCCTGTTGCAACTTATACTGCAAGAAAAAGAGGGTTTTCCCCCTGGCACTATAATCACTTCTGCATTTCTCAAAAAAGGAAGTACACACTTGGCACCATGAATTCAAAAGCAGACCAATTATAGAAGCATCAGGAAATGTATTCAGAGTTATGTTTATCTATGTATGCATAAAGTATGTGTATACCTAATGTATAAAACAACACAGAATGATTTCCTAAAAATGAAATTTTGGCCTGAACCAGCATTTCCTGTAGGCCCTGAGCACTCCTAGCTCTCCTTGGAGGCAGTGAAAATTAAGGATGCTCAGGTCCTTGAATAATATGATATGATAATGCTTTAAAGATGCAAAACACCATGGAAATGCTAAGCATTATTATTTATCATGATCCAAGCAGTCATTGACATGTTGCCACATGCTTTAGGAAAAAGAAAATACAAGGATTTTTGGAAAAATATCCAAAGGAGATAGAGGATGGTTAGATCTTAATGTCAATCATTGGCTACAAAAGGACTAATATCCAAGTTCACATGCTTAGAAATCTGGAGAGTGCTACTGGCATTCTTGCTGATGCTGCAGTAAGCAACAATAATTGCACTTCAGTTGCCAGAGAATGAAATTGATCATGTGGTAATGTAATTACTCCAAGCTGCACTGAAGCATCAGTCAGTAGCTTTCATTGTTTGCTGTTGTGCTTGCACACTACCAGGCACTTATTTCAATAATGACTAGACCCTATATATATGGATCAGGGTGCATGTGTGTGTATATACATTTCTTACACATACACACACAAACCATATATATGGGCAAGCATGAAGATTTTTTTTCAGTCTTATGACCGCAGAATGATGTTTTGAATCCTTCCATTGCTGGATCAGCCTGAAATTACACCAGTAGGGCAGCATGGCATATCTTCCATCCCACACAGACACAGTCTATATATTGAATTGCATGTTTGTAGAAAGAGCCATTTTGATAACACTGGAAGCTGAAATGCCTCTTTTAACTCATACACTATCTGTTACATGCAACAGCATCTGATATATGTCACCTGATCACTCTGCCTCCATCACTGTGCTACCTGACCTATGAGGATAAGCTCAAAGGGCAAAGAGGTACTTCAGTTCTGGTCTCACCCATTCAGTTTTTACTGCATGTAGATTTCAATTGATGATGCTACAGGCCAGGCTGTAAGTGACATACTGTGGGCCTTCTGCTTGGAGCCTTCTGGTTCTCCTCAATAACAGATTGGTTTTAACTGCATCAGTTTCCTGAAAGTCACTGAGTCATGTAGCTAAAACCCTGGATATCTGCAAGTGACTCTTGTACGTGAATGACTTAAATGACCTTAATGAAGATTTCAACACAATTGAACGGAAAGTAACTAGCCACTTGGCCAGATGTTATACCTAATTGTACTATGGAAAGATGCAAACTGAACATATACAATTTTAACTCATCTCAGGGGAAACTCATTTTAAAATGATAACTTGTGAAAAGTAAACCACGTACCAAGCAAAGAGCATTTTGATAAAAACTCACTTTCACTAACAGAAACTGTGATATACTGTGACTTTTACTATTAAGTCTTAGTTTTCAGAAAAACAGTCCAGATTTCCAAAATAAGGGACATTTAATTACTTTTTGTCTTGTTGGTTGTCTTCATCACTAAAAAGAAAGAAAGAAACAAAAATCCCAATTCTCCTTCCCTCCCTAACCTGCCTTTTTTGTAATTTGACATGACTCAAATGCATATATCAAACAGAAGAAAGGCAGACTAGATGAAAGTACTTTAAAGTGTTTGGATCATAAGTGTTTGGATCATCAAGTACACATATGTGTTTGGATCATTGTATACAATCAACAGTCATCAATGACTCAATTTCTAGTTGGGAGGAGGTATCAAGTGGGCTTCACCAGGGGCCTGTTCTGGGTCTGGTATTATTTAATATCATCATTAATAATGTGGATGATGGAATTGAGTGCACATTTAGCAAATTTGAGGACAAGACTAAGTTGGGTGGAGTTGCAGATACTCCAGAGAGTAGGACTAGGATCCAAAAATCCTGAATAGATAGAGAAATGGTCTATAATCAATCTTATGAGATTGCAGAATAACTGCATGGACAAATACAGACTGGGGAATGACTGGCTAGGCTGCACTACCGCAGAGAAGGACATGGGGGTTACAGTGGACCATGAGCTGAATATAAGCCAACAGCATGCTCGTGTTGCAAAAAAACCCAGCAGCATCCTTCGTTATTTTCACAGGAGTGTCACTTGCAAATCAGGGGAAGTGATTCTGCTTTATAGAACTGGTGAGGCCCCACCTGGAGTACTGTTCCCAGATTTGGAGCCCACACTTCAAGCAGGATATGAACAATTTGGAAAGAGTACAGTTCAGAGCAACAAAAATGATTAGGGGCCTGGCTGGCAAGACTTATGAGGAAAGGCTGAAAGAGCTAGGGTTATTTAGTCTGGAGAAGAGAAGACTGAGGGGGGATTTGATAACAGACGTCAAATACTTGAAGAACAATTATAGTGAGGATGGAGATAGGCTTTTCTCTGTGGCTTTAGGGAACAGGACTAGGAGCAGTGGCCTAAAGCTACAGCAGGAGATATTTAGGTTGGAGATTAGGAGGAACATTTTGACCATGAGGGTAGTCAAGCATTGGAGCAGGCTACATAGATAAATTGTGGAATCTCCATCGCTGGAAGTTTTCACAAGCAAGTTAGACAAACGCTTGGCTGGAATGGTTTAGTCAGGGGTGCACCTGACTTGAGATGGACTAGACTAGATGACCTTGTGAAGTCCCTTTTAGCCCTACTTTCCTATGATCTTATGACTGTGTCAGCTTTCCCAAGATGAAAATACAATGAAAGAAAGAAAGGTATGTTAGTGTTACTCTAGGTTACATTCACTGAGGTCATCCCTCTTATCCTCAGCTGTGGTTGGCTTCAGTTAGATATAAAGCAGCTTTTTTCCCTTTCTCTCTCTCTCTCTGTTTTTTAAGTAGGGAGGTTAGCCTCCTGAATTATGCATGAATTTTACATGTTTGTTTGATATATGCATCTGATACTTAAAAGTACACAGTTGGGATCTAGCAGCATATGTACATAAAAGCACCTGATTTACAGGAGTTATTTACATTAAAAGGTTATACACTTGCTGATTTGCCTGCGCAATTATGTCCCAAATCTTTCTCTCTGTTTTGAATATGTTTGTATTGCTGAGTTACATGTAACTTTTTTTAGCCAAACAAAATTGGTTTCTTCTTACATTTTGCACTTCCCTTTTATGGTAATTGAAAAGCAGTCTCATAGTTTGTGGTTGCATAGCATAAACAAAACAAGAATTGGTCTAGAATTGTTAAAGGAGCCTAGAGAGATATTTCAGTGGAGCTGCTCTTATGTTTGTCACATGTTTGCCATTGTTTGTCTCTAATTTAACCAAGGTTTTTATTTTCAGTGACCCATAGTATAAGTAGTGAGTTTCTTCTCAGTCCAGTTCATAAAAAAAAACCAAACACCACTCCAATCTCTCAGTTCTAATACTCAAAGGAAACTTATAAAACACCTCTCAGAGATGAGACTATGAACTTTACTTCATCAACCTTCTAGATACTAAAAATCATGGACTAAATATAGACACTGGATTTATGACACACTATAACTTTCCTGACATTTGACTCCCCAGGTACCTCTCCACTATTTAATTGCTAAATTCATCCCCCTTCTCCCCCCGCACAAATAGCCTGTCTCTCACCCACTGACTCCTCAATTTACATCTTCACTGACTGTCTTTCTTGTATGCATACCAGCCCAGCCTCTGGCTTCTTTAATTTTCATTCCATCCAGGAAGAGCATACACCAACTGCAGAGACTTCCTTAGCCCGATGAAGGGTTTTTAAACCTGAAAGCTTGCTTACATTTTTTTTCAATTATTTAAGTTGGTCTAATAAAAGATACCCGATTCACCCAAAAAACCTTGTCTGCCTGTGTTTAGTCATGTAATTCCTATTAAAGTACCATGAAAACAATGCATAGGAATTGGATGATGGTCTAACCACTAATATGATGTTCTTTACCGGTGTTTTGTGCTGGTAATAGGGGCTTTCCTGAAGACAATCTCTAGTTTTGTACATGTTATGACAGGGAGCCTTTTATGAAAAGACAAGCCAATCGCCCATCAAGAATGACCCG